ATGCAGGGAAGGGAAAAGAGAAAGAGGTGAGATCAGCATGCAGCGTCAAGGTGGGTTTTTGTGCTTTATCATATTATTGTGCAGGGAAGAGAGAGGACAGGGATTAAAAGGGACAGGAGAAAAAAGGAGACAAGCAAAAATTCTACAACTTTCAACTGTTCACTGGGTAATATGCAACATTAAAAGAGTCTAAGAGTCTCATATAAATGGCTAACATTGTGATTGAAGGGTTTAGTAAGACATTTATTTGATAGAATATAAAAAGCAGTGTGGAATCCCAGAATCTAGGGTTGGAAGAGGTTTTAAAGGCTATCTCTTCTAATCTCCCACACAATGTTTGAATGCCCTCTATTGCATCCCTGACTGAACTTGACTGATAACATCAGTGCTGGGAAGCTCACTTCCTCTTAGGGTTATGAGCATTGGCTCAGCCACCAAGTGTCATAAGCTCTGTGACTCAGTCTCTTGGGCTGTATACATAAACTGAGAGCTGCTACCTGACCTCCCAACAAAAATGAGATAGTTTGAGAAAGGTATAAGTTACTGTAGGCAAGTGAATATTGAATAGTTATCTTGGAGATATACTAGAGAGATGGAAAAGGGTTGTCAGGCAGTGGTTGAGATCAGAGGCTGTGTATTTCTATTGAAACCCATCAGCGTGATGCATGATGGAAGCCATCTTCCAGCACTCGGCTGCAGGTTCATAAGAATGGATGCTGACATTTAACAAAACCCTAATCCTGGTTACGTACAACAGAAGAAGGGAAGTGGGGTTTGCAGAGAAGTGATGATAATGCTAAAAATGCCCTTTAGCATTTTTTAACACCCTATTTGTATGCTAACATTTTAGAAATAAAACCACAGTGGCAGATACTATCAATTGCCTTACTAGAGATTCTGATCACAAATTTCCAATGTGTGTTGGGGTGGTGGTGGGGAGTGGGGGCACTTCCCTATGGATCCAAGTAATTCTAGGACACTACCTGAGTGTTCTACAGTTCAACTCAATTCTGTCAGTATCTACCTGGAGATGGCATCAGATCCCACACATTAAGGGGTCAGTCCTACAAGAACACTTTTCAATTCAGATGCCAATCACAAGTTCTGGTTGTTACCTGTACTTCTGATGCCTGGCTATAAATCAGAGGTTCCCATAATCCCCTCCTTGCTAAAGCAGGTCATAGAACTCAGGAAACTCATTTATTCACTAGATTACAGGTTTATTGCAAAGGATATTAAAGGATACAAACAGCCAGATGAAAACAGAAAGGGTGAGGTCTCACCAAATGGAATAACTATCCTTGTAGATTTTAGAGCCCAGCACAGTGACATGTGAGAGTGTCTGGGTCCCCAGACTGAAGTTCTCCAAATACAGTTCTTTTTGAATGTCTTATGGAGACTTTATTACAGTACATAGGCATGACTGATTAAATTAACTGGCCATTGGTGATTCAACTCAATCTCCAGCCCCATCCTCTTCCCCAGAGGCCAAGGAGTTCCAACCTTCTAATCACATGGTTGGCTCCCCTGGCAACCAGTCCCCATCCTTAGGTGGGATCCAAAAATCACCTCATTAATACAGAAAAAATAACTTTCTGGCTCTCATCACTTAGTAAATTTCAGTCCTTCTCAACCTCTTCCAGAAAACTGAACCAGACAATATTTTCTAATGCATTCCTAAATTGGGAATTAAAAAGTAAAATTATCACTATTTACCAATGACATGATTCCATCTATAGGAAACCCTAAAGACAAAAGAACTGTTCGAAACAAAAAATACAGTAAAGTTGCAGGATACAAAATCGATATACAAAAATCTGTTGCATTCCTAGATATTACATAACAAAATGTCAGAAAGAGAAATGAAGGAAAAAGTCTCATTTACAATTACAACAAAAATAACAAAATGCCTAGGAATAGCCCTGGCTGGGTGGCTTAGCTGATTGAAGCATTGTCGCATGAACCAAATGGGTGGTATGGTGTTCTAAGGGCACACACCTGGATTGAGGGTTTGATGCATGATCAAGGTGCATACAGGAGGCAGTCAATGTTTCTCTCTCTCCCCGCTTTCTCTGTCTCTAGAATCAATAAACATATCTTTGAGAGAAGATTTTTAAAAAGTAAGTGGAATGATAGCTATTCCATGTTCTTGAATAGAAAGAGTCAATATTATCAAAGTGTCAGTTCTTACAACATGATCTATGGATTCATCCCATTCCAATCAAAATCCCAGCAAGTTATTTTGTGGATCTTGACAAAGTGATTCTAAAGTTTACACAGAGAGGCAAAAGACCCAAATAGCCAACTGAATTTTGAGGGAGAAGGACAAAGTAGGAGGACTAACACTGTCTAACTTTAATAATACTCTTGGATAGTGTGGTGAAAGAATAGACAAATCAATGGAAAAGAATAGAGGGCCCACAATTAAACCCATGTAAATATAGTCAACTGATCTTTGACAAAAGAGTGAAAGCAATACAGATCTTTTACAAATAGAGCAAAGATAGTTTTTTAAACAAATGGTACTAAGAACAACTGGACATTCACATGCATACACACAATCTACACACATCTCACACCCTTCACAAAAAGTTAAGTGTATCACAGGCTTAAGTGTTAAATATAAAACTGCAAAAGTCCTATAACAGGAAAAAACCTAGATGCCATTGGGTTTGGTGATGACTTTTAATAGTACGACACCAAAAGCACAATCCATGAAGAAAAAAATTGATAAACTGGATTTGATTAAAAAGCTGCTCTGAGAAAGGCAATGTTAAGAGAATGAGAAGATAAGCCACATACTATCAAACACATATTTGCAAGACACATCTGACAGTATTCTTAAAACTCGACAATAAGAAAACAAGCAACCTGATGTAAAAATGGGTGAAAGACCTTAAATGACACATCACCAAAGGTGATATACATATAAATACTAAGCACATGAAAAGATGTTCCACATCAAATGTCATCAGAGAAATGCAAAATAAAATGACAAAGAGATACCATTATGGACTTATTAGAATGGCCCAAATCCAAAACACACACCACCAAATGCTGGAGAGGATGTGGAGCAACAGAAACTCCCATTCATTGATGGTGGGAATGCAAAATGATACAGATATTTTAAAAAACAATTTGGTGGTTTCTTACAAAACTACACATACTCTTACCATATGATTCAGCTGTCATGCTCCTTGGTATTTACCCAAGGAAGCCGAAAGCTTATGTTGCACCAAACCCTGCACATGGATGTATGGAATAGCTCTCTCCATAACTGGCAATGCTTGGAAGCAGCCAAGATATCCTTCAGCAGGTGAGTACATAAAGTGTGGTACATCCAGATACTGGAATATTATTCATCACCAAAAAGAAATGAGTCATCAAGGCATGAAAAGACATGGAGGAAACTTAGACGTACTATATTACTAAGTGAAAGCAGCCAATGTGAAAGGCTACCTGCCCACCGTATGACATCACCTACAGGGTCTGGAAGAAGTAACACCTGCTTCAGTGGGTCGGTAGGGTAACCATATGGCTATAATAATTTATAGTTTTAATTTGAACATTTTACCTAAAATGCCATAGGGTGTGCCTAAGTGTGATATTGTTATATTACAGAATTACATGCTTATGATTTTGTAGTACAAGATTTTGTACTAAAAAGGGATGTTATCTGTGCCAGATCCTGTATATGACACCCTGGAAAAGGCAAAATTATGAGGACACTAAAAAGATCAGTTGTTGCTATGAGTTAGGTGGGAGAGAGAGGGGATGAATAGAAAAAACGTAGATGTTTAGGATAGTGAAACTATTCCATATACTACAATAGTGTATACATGTTATTTACATATGTCAAAACCCACAGAATGTACAATGCCAACAGTGCACCATGAACTTGGGGTGATAACCGTGTCGATGCATGTTCAGTCATTATGACAAATGCACCAGTCTGATAAGCAGATTCAGTAGTGGGGTAGGTTGTAGATGTGTGGGGATAGGATATATGAGAACTCTGTACTTTTCTGCTCAGTTGTGCTGTAAACCCAGAACTGCTCTGAGAAATTGTTTATTATTTTTTAATATAAAAATGTAAATCAATTCTATTTTCACATACTGGAAACATTCAGAAATTAACATTGAAAATATCATTTACATAGCATCAGCAAGTACAATTTCCTCCAGCATGATTTTTATGGACAAATCTGAGTTAGAGATAGATTTAACAAAAGATGAGACATTACATATTTAACACCTAAATAAATGGTGAGGTTTATTTTGTTCAAAGGTCATATGATTCAATAATATTAACATGTAAATTATTTCTATACCGACCTATATATGCTAGACAAACCCAACAAAACTCTCAGCTTTTTAACAGAAAATGACAAACTGGTTTTAAAATTCACACGGAAACACAAAAGCCCAAACAACTTTGAAAAAGAATAAAATTGGATGCTGAACACTAGCTGATCTCAATAGTCATTATAATGCCACGGTAATCAAAGACAACGTGGTATTTTCGTAGATAGATAGAAAGTCTTAAACCTGTACATATAAGGACATTTATTTCTCACATAAGTGCAAAGGTTTTTGAATGGAAAAAGCTCTTTCAAGAAACGGTGCTAGCTATCCATATGCAAAAAAGTGACCCATGCTTTCGCATGTACAAACATTAGCTCAAAATGAATCATAGGTGTAAATATAAAACCTTCACTCTAAAACCTCTAGGAGAAAACAAGGAGAAAATCTTCGTGGCTTTAGGTTTGGTAGGGTTTCTAGACCAAAAGCCCAATCCACACGCAATCCCTTTTTGAAGCACTGCTCAGCACAGCCCCGACTTCTTCCCATTCCACCTGGGGCGACTACCCTTTCCCAGCCCCGCCCAGGGACTCCTCTTGCCCCGCCCCGATTCTCTGCTCCTCCCCCGACCCTCCTCGCCCCACCCAACTCACTGGGCCACGCCCTCTCGCGTCCCTTGGCGCCAGGCGCAGCGCGCGCCCGCCTGCTTCCCCACCCGGAAGAGACACCTGAGCCTCGAAGTTGAGCAGTGCGCGGCCTGGCGCTCGTCGTGAGCGCGGGTAGGGCCGAACCGCACCCGTAGCGCCTAATTCAGCACTTATGCAAGGCGGGCCCGCTGGAGCCTGCGCGCTCCCGCGGCTGGCGGAACCTCCAGCGGTCCCGCGTGCGCACGTTGCCCCGCCTCCACCGGCCCGGGGCCCGCCCGGGTTGTCTGCTCCCCTCCGCATTGAGAGCAGGGCAGAACTGCCAGGCTTGAGTTCTCTGCGCCCCTCCGCCTCGAGAGCAGGGCATCGCGGTGACTTCTGACACTGTATGTGACGGTAAGTGACAGTCGCTGCCGTTTTTCACTGTTATTTATTTTATCTCTTGCAGTTGGTCCCAACTGTCGCTCACATTTGGTTAGTTCAAAAACTGTTCAACTCCGGAATTAGTCTGGTGACTGAGCTGCCCGGGAGCCGAGCCCGGGAAGTGTCACAGACCTGCCCACGTGTTGTAGTTCAGGGGCTGCGTCCAGAGATGTAAGTGTGGATAGAGCCCAGCCTCGGAGCAGGGCTAGGCTACGTTTGCCCAAAGACCCGCAGTCCTCGCAGTGCTCCGGGAAGGGGCGGGCGTCGATGGGGCGGGCGCTAGGACTCAGCGCGCCCGGGCGAGGGGGCGTGGCTCCGGCAGGTGAATGGAGGCGACTAGACCGGCAGCGATTCCCCGGGGAACCAGCGAGGTCGGCACGTATTCAACCTCTTGGCTTTACTTGTTGGTGCTTCACTTTGGAAGATAAAATAATACAACATGATTGTATTTTAACTTCAACTATGCATTAAGAAAACGGAAAGGTATCTTGAAAGTTGTAAAACAGTAAGTGCCTTCATTCTGTATCGGAATGGGCACATTTATAGGGTTAGTAAACTGCTTAGAAACTGTTGATCAGTTTTGTACAGCTGCTGAAAATGAATGCTATTTTTAAAGATGTTCTGTTTAAAAAGATTAAGCAAAATTTAATCCGACCTGAATTTGAACCATGAATTATACCGCTGCCCTCTTTCTGCCCTGGGTGGAGCTGTCTTTTAAATTACTAAATTTGTGGCTCCAGATTTAATCTGCACTTAGAGAATCTTAGAGATTCTCTTGTAGCCACTCTTGGGAGTACAGGCTTTCTTATTTATTTTTTTCAACAAAGGCCACATCATAGAAATACTGTATGATTAGTAGATCCTTCCCAGGTGCCTTTTCTGCATTATCTTTGGCTGAGTTTAAATTACCTGACTACAACAATCTACTTCTCAGTGTAGTGGCCATAGTGTATTTTCACTTACTCTCTTAGATACGCATATACTCACCTGTTAATCTCACACTGCCATCCTCTAGTCATCAGAATTCTTTAATCATTTTTCTTTTTATAAAGCCTAGTACGGTCAGTGTTAGTTGAATGAAATAAGTCAAATTAAAGTACACTTGTCCTTCAGGGCTCTGTTTCCAAATCAAATAAAGATTTCTTAAATGGTCCAGTTGGGACAGTTTATTTGTCACCCCATTTAAATTTAACTCTCTCCTATTCATACTGAATAGTATGAATATTCATACTATTTGCTCCTATTCATACTGAATTTTTACCACTGTCGTAGTGCTATAATATTGATCTATCCTTTAGTTTTCTGAGGGGATAGAGACCCTTTTATTGTGCTTTCATTTCAAAGCATAATAACTTTTATGTGGTAGATACCTGTGTGTGTACATGAAAATGGAATGGGGTAGGCCCTTTGAATCTGTAGTTACAAATTTAAAAAAAATATTGCCAGAGGAATAGGTAAAGTATAAATATACTATACTTATTTTCAATCTGTAGTCAGCATTTAAAGACCAATTTTTCTTTCCTCAGTTTAATCATCTAGTTCTTTGATAGTCTTGACAGCTGTTTTTGCTGAAGCCAATAGTTTTCCTGGGTCAGGAAGAGAAAATATCAAATAAATTGACCTCCAGATGTAAGTTTCTAAAGCTAATCTGATAACTATTCAAGTCATAACTGGCTATCATTCTGAATAGCAGTGTATGTTCTGTTTATGTAGCAGAATATACATACGTGTGTGTGTGTGTGTGTGTGTGTGTGTGTGTCTAACTAGAGAGACAGAGAGAAAGAGAGATATTCTTTATGTGAATAAAACCCAGAAGCAGGATGCTTACAAAAAAACTACCGGGAGTAACTTTAGCCAAAAGACTGGCTTTTAAGATCACTTGAGAGTGAATGTGAGTATGGAAATTGGTTAAAGAAAAAGCAAGGGCCTTTTCAGATAAAGCTGGGTTAATGAGGAGGAACTTTTGGAAAAAGAACTGGGAAAGACATTAGACCATTTTGGATTTTATAATCAGTACCAACATAATATTTACACACTCAAAAATAATACTTTTACTGAGTAACAGATAATTCAGATCTAATTAAAATTTAAATTCAGGTAATATTTTGACATTAGGATGTGACCATAAATGAAGATGATTTACAACCACACAATTTCTTTTGTTAACGTGTGTAGCAAAAGAAAAGGTATAATACAGTTCTTTCTTTTTTCTTTAGTTACCTACATCCAAGATGAATAGTGATCAAATTGCACTGGTTGGTCAAGTGTTTGAATCATATGTTTCGGAATACCATAACAACGATATTCTTTTAATCCTGAAGGAAAAAGATGAAGATGCTCATTACCCAGTTGTGGTTAATGCCATGACCCTTTTTGAGACCAACATGGAAATTGGGGAATATTTCAATGCATTCCCCAATGAAGTACTAATTGTTTTTGATAGCTCACTGCGAAGATCAGCCTTGACAATTCTCGAGTCCCTTTCTCAGCCTGAGGGTGTCTCCATGAAGCAGAATCTTCATGCCAGGATATCAGGTGAATCATTTAAGAATTTTGTTGCCATGTTATTCTCTAGAAGATTTTTGAGAAACCATAACACATTTTGAGTATAGAACACTAAGAAATAATTGTTACTTACACTTAAAAGTATATTCATTGTATAGTTGATATAGCACTTGTCAGCCCTGGGGGGTGGGTCTTAATGAAGCATTCCCCAGGAATTTGGAAATACTTGTTTTCTGAGAGTTAAATTGTAAAGTCAGCAGAGATATACAAAAATTTTTCTAAGCCAAAGTATGGCTTTCTTACTGGAAAAATGCAATGCAAGTTAATATCAATAAAGAATATTTTCATTATAAAGTGGGAAGTCAGCCTCAGAAGCATAGAAGAAGAAGTCACAGTGATAAACATTAGCGGAGCCTCCCTTGTTTGTATAGTACACAGTGTGTGAAGAGAGAGCCACAGCAAACAACAGAAAATGCAAGTCTGCCTGAGACCTCATAACCTGTAATACCAGTACAATGTAGCCTGGTGCCTTAAGCATTCAGTTCCTCTGATTAATTTTCTTTAAAAAATTTCATGTTACTCAGACTGCCTTCTGATTATTATTGTCTGGCTTTCAGAGTGGATATATCTGCAGGGAGAAAATGTGCTGACCATAGAAACTTGAAGTATAATCATGTCTATGATAGTTATTTCTCTCGAGCTTGACAAATCTGACAGATCCTTCTGTGTGCACACTTACCAGTTTTCCTAGCTACTAAATTCTGAGGCCCAGACAATGGACCATGGGACATGAACCAGTGTAACAAATGCTGCCTCGATAAACCTGTTAGGAGGCAGCCTTTGACTATCACAGCCAGTGTTGCTCTGCTCCAAAGATGCATTAGAGCCAAGTATGAGAAAGGGCATTTTCATGTTAAAAATTTCTTTGGTATTTTGCACCTATCAAGTTGCCTTTTCACTAATAGTGAAAACCACAAGGTTTTTAAAAGTTAAAGCGATGCTGTGGGTAAAACTCTAGGTAACTCAAGGGTTGGAAACATTGTCAGACTTACATATTAATAAATTCTGAACCTAACTAAAAAAAAAAACAGTACACTTTTAGCACTGTGGTACTTTTGGGTCATTATACTACCTTCTCTTTATCACTCAGTTTTGTGGTTTACTCAAAGAGTCATAAATTGAGTATATGTGAGGCAGGTGGAAGTATAGTCTTTATTGAATATGGCTGTAATTATATACTCTATTTAGATCCTATTGAGATAGCCCTCTTATGAGAATGAATCCTTTTTTTAATCCTGCTTATTATATCACCTAGTATGTACTTTTAAAGCTAGTCCACTGATAATTAGTATTTGAAATTTTTTTCTATCTTAATTGATTTCATCTGATCTTTTTCCTTAAGTAAAACATGAAAATTTTTTTTTCCTGAAATTATACTTTATTCCACAGGAAATATTCGGGAAGTATATTGCATGGAGTCAGATGCCAAGGTTGATGTCGTTTTTGTTTTGTTTTTTGTTCCTTCAGGTTTGCCTGTTTGTCCTGAGCTGGTGAGGGAGCACATCCCTAAAACCAAGGATGTTGGTCACTTTTTATCTGTCACTGGGACAGTGATTCGAACAAGTCTGGTGAAGATCCTGGAGTTTGAACGGGAATACATGTGTAACAAATGCAAGCATATGTTTACGGTCAAGGCTGACTTTGAGCAGTATTATACCTTCTGCCGGCCATCCTCATGTCCCAGCTTGGAGAGCTGCAATTCTTCCAAATTCACTTGCCTCTCAGACTTGTCTTCATCTCCAACCAGGTGTAGAGATTATCAAGAAATCAAAATTCAGGAACAGGTAAATGATCAAATAAATCAGAAAAATGACAGATTTGAAGAAATGTTATCCATTGTTAATGTCATGGCAGATATGTGTCACGGAGTTGAATGCAGTAGCTGTATCAGATGTGTAATGCATAGCTAGGGATAATCTTGTAAAAATATGTATGGCTAAGCAGACTCTTAAGAAAGAACTGAAATTTCATCATGAAGATAAGCTTAATGGCTGGAGCTAATTAATGTTATTAATAGGTCTACAGATGACCTATTAATCATTTTTAGGAATGAATGGGTTTTTTGAATATTGGCCATTAGGATTCTTGCAGTTGAAATACAATGATGATTTTTTCATGTCATTACTCATGGATAAGTCCATGTAAGAATAATGATAACATATATTGGACTTAGGGTATTATTTTTGTGCTTAGTTTTGTAGGGTTTTCTTCAAAACCCCCATCAATTTATGGGCAGATTGCTAGAACTAGAGAACACATAATGGATTACAAATGAAATTTATGTCATCACTTTGTAGAAGATCAAGTGTGAAACTGTTGTATGTGTATCAGAATACATTCTTTAGAGATCATGATATAAACATACTGTTATATAAACATCTTGCTTTGGCAAGAGGATTGTGGAATAACTTAATAATTATGTTAAAATTAAGTGAATATTTAAGAAGTTCAAATTAGCTGTACTTAATTAAGGGACAGGAAAATTAAATGGGTTCAACTGGTTGTTAAACGGGAATGGGCAGGATTTGGAGTTTAGGCCAAAATTTTATTTAGGATGCCAAATTCTTTAATATGTGAGTGAACCTGTTGTTTTTTTTTTTTAACTTGCCACTGAACACAAAGGCTTATTCAGTGTCAAGGACTCTGACACCTTCTGTTCTTCTATAATGTTCTTAACTCATGGCTTCTATTTTTATGGTTGTCTGTAGTTCAGAATGGTGGCTACAGCTCCGTCACATCTGTGTCCCAGTCAGAGAACAGAAACACAGAGAGATGGGCAGCAGTACCCGCCATCTCAGAGTCTGCATTTAAGTAGTATCCTACATATCAACTTACATCTCATTGGCCAGAACTTTGTCATATGACCACAACTGGATGCAAGGGAACCTGGGAGATGCAGTCTTTAACTGGGAACTTGTTTACCTAGAATAACTAGGGTTCCTTTCCTAAGGAATAATCAAAGTAACTGAGTGATTTATTCTAGGTCTTATGACTAGAGATCAGGAAAGAACTGCTGCTTTATTCTACATAAATGACTTTGTTATTATGTTTAGTAGTTGGATCATATATTTATTTTGACCACCCATAAGGTAAATTATATTTGGAAACGTTTTCCAGATATTGGTGTTCTTATTTTACTCTAGATTTAATGAATTCCTAAAATTACAGTATGCACAATTTACAAGAAAATTCCATAAATTCACATTCTAATTATATTGTATGACAATACCAGAGAAATACAAATGGTAATTTGACGAATTGTTAGGTTCAGAATACTTAGCATGTATTTAAGCATATTCAGTATCTGTTTTCTTTTCTTGGCTAGGTTCAACGACTGTCTATTGGAAGTATTCCACGATCTATGAAGGTTATCCTAGAAGATGACTTAGTAGACACTTGCAAATCTGGTAAGAATTAACTTTTGTTAACTTATACAAGAGGTCTCAATATATTGATATGGAAAAGCCACTTTTTGTTTTCCCAAGAACGAGTGTGAAGACCTGATTGCTTACCTTGAGAACAGAGAGTGACATGGAGGTGGGGTGTGATAGCAGGGAGGAAGCTGGGTCGGAGCTTAGCTGTCTAGTCCAGCCACTTATTTCATAGATGAAGAACCTGACTAACCTAGGGCCACTTGGAAAGTTAAATGACAGAACTGGAACACGAACCCAGATCTACCAACGTCTAGTCCAGGACTCTCTTCGGTATACCGTAGCTTAACAGCAGCATATTTTAAAGAGGTTGGTTTTAGTGGGCAGTTATATAAGATGCATCAGAGAATGTGACTCTTGTCAAATGCTACTGCATCCTTAATGATGTCTAAATGAAAGGAAGTGATTTTTTTCTCTGTGTTCTGTGTTGGTGACACCACTATAGGAGTCACATTGATTTTGGTCTTCTGTCCTCTAAGGGTCCTCAGTATTTCCACTAGCCAGTTGCCTGAATTGGGAGGGAATTTGAATCATACTGAAATAACTGTGGATGTTTAGCATGGATAAGCCTCAGAAAGGACATGACCATCAAGTTTCTTTCATTGGAAGATGGGCATATAGAAATGGAATTGGAAGTACAGAAGATGCTGTTGGGTTTCAGTGAGCTGGAGGTGCAGGAAGGCAGACTTTGACTCAGTATCCACTAATCAGAGGTGTCCAACATGGGCCTTGGATGGTGGTGAGTTTAAGCAGAGGGTGAACAGCATCTTGTTAACTATTTAGGTCTCATGATGAGATGGTCTACAATGTTCCAGGTGAGTTAAAGACTTTGTGAGCCTCGGTGCTTCAGAAGCCTAGTTGTTCTGATGTCATTCTTAGTTATATCTTGATCTTTAGGCCAAACAAACAATTCCTAAGCTCTCCTTTGCCCCTCTCAAATCACCCTGTCCCCCCTTACTCTTCTCATTGGGAGCTTGGGAAGAATCAAACTTAAAAAGTATTTGTGGAAGGGCAAGGATTAATCTCAGTCCATGCCTATAAAATTGAAGTGTTCTACACTGAATTTTAAATTATTGTTTTTATTTTTAAAATGGTAGGCAAAGGTTTTATTTGAAAAATTACAATATTAGAAAGTGTTGTAAATCAGCAGTGTCAGCCAAGGGAGCCAATACCATTCTCTCTTCTGCAGTATCTTACGAGGTATTCTTAATAAAATTTGGTATTTTTTTGAAATGGATGTATTGGTGATAGATAACTTGTATTTATAATGCAAAAAGAGAATGAGAGAATAAAGGGGACTTTCTTCAGCTCTTGGTAGAGGGTAGGGCTATAAAGTTTACAGGGCAAGGGTGAAGGTCAGGGAAGGGTAAAGATCACAGACAGGAGCAGACTGCCTTCACAGTGATGATTTTAAATATTTATTTATTTATTTATTTATCTATCTATCCATCCATTCTCACCTGAAGACAATTTTTCATTGCTTTTAGACAGAGGGGAAGTTGAACGGGGAGAGAGAGAAACATCGATGAAAGAGAGACCATCCATCTGTTGCCTCCTGTATGTGCCCTGATCAGGAGGATCAAACCTGCAACATAGGTATGTGCCCTCACTAGGGATTGAACCTGTTACCTTCGGTTTATGGGACGATGCTCCAACCAACTGAGCCACAATGGCCAGGGATCTCTTAAGGTTTTAATCAAAAACTTTTTGTAACCAAAGTACTTGATGTTTTCCGTAGATCAACATAGGCATCATCATGCATTCTTCCCCCTCACTGTCATCTTTCCATACTGACTAAGACTCTACTACCGAGCTTGATAGTCTTACGGATTTTTAGACTTTCATGTTGTCCACAGAGCTACAAATCTTGTATAAGCTTCTCTTAGAAACCTGTTCCCTTAAAGCCACTATCTTCTGTTCCCGACATGCATTCTCACGCCTTGTCCAGACCTTTGTCTATGAGGAGGATATGAAAACTTATCCTTTCTCTTTCTTACTCTTACTCCAAATAACTTAAAACCTGCCTAACAAGCCCTGGTCACATAGCTCAGTTGGTTAGAGCACTGTCCACCTATGCCAAGGTTGTTGGTTTGATCCTGGGTCAGGGCACATACAAGAATCAACCAATGAATGCATAAATCAGTGGAACAGCAAACAGCTGTTTCCCTCTCTCTCCACTACCCCCGCCTCTCTCCAGTGTTCTCTTTCTCTAAAAAGTTGATTAAAAAAAACTGCCTAACAATTTCCACTTTCCTTTTTAATTTTTTATTTATTTATTTATTTTAGATTTTATTTATTTATCTTTAGAGGGGAAGGGAAGGAGAGAGGGAAAGAAATATCACTGTATGGTTGCTTCTCATGCGATCCCTGCTGGGAACTGGCCCCTGCTGGGAACTGGCCTGCAACCCAGGCATGTGCCCTGACTGGGAATCGAACCGAGATCTTTTGGTTTGCAGGCCCTTGCTCCATCCACTGAGCTACACCAGCCAGGGCTATCCACTTTCCTTTTTAAAAGATTTTACTTACTTTATTTTTTTAGAGAGAGGTGAAGGGAGGGAGAGAGAGGGAAAGAAATGTCTATGTGAGAGAAAATCGTCCTTTGGTTGCCTCTTGTGTGCGCAGCCCAGTGGGGACCGAATCTGTGACTTAGGCACGTGCCCTAACCCAGAATCAAACCACAGCCTTTCACTTTTCAGGCCAGGTCCAACCAACGGGGCCACACCAGTCATGGTTCCACTTCCTTTTTTAACATTTAAGTTAAATTGAAGGTGGGTCAAAAAATGGAAATGGTTCCTAAACCTTAGCTGAGTAGAAGCAGTTACCTTTTAATTTACCTCAATATTCTCTGCATTAAATATGTCTCATTTTCTCTAAAATGCCCTTTATCTCTATAAACAACAAATAGCACAGGTGTGTATGCTGGGCAGTAGCAGCTACATCTGATCTTATTCCATGTCCCAGGATCAAAATTGCTTCATTTCACCAAATTCCATCACTTCCCTTTTCTTAACTTTACACTTCTCCAGATGCCTCATTTATGAAATATTTACTGAGATAAAACTAAAATGATGAGGCAACACTATGGAAATGAAAGTTCAGTATCTAGAGTCAAATAATTCTTTATCAAAAGACTCACCCCATCCAACCAAGAATCACCAATTCATAGTTTGAAATTTATGTCAAATACATTAACAGTTTATAGTTATTCAAAGAGTATACTAAGGAAGTGACAACTTTGATCATGGATTTCCTGATAAATGGACAATCTGGGTCAAAATACCTTGTTCATATAGGACTCCAGATTTTAACCCAAATTTGTAATATCTGTATCAGCAAAGCAATGCTTGTATGAGCTTAGCCTGAACGTGAAAATACCGTTTGATATAAAATAAGGTGTTTCCATACAATTTCTTTAACTGAATTTTTTCTGCACTGAAAAAAACTCTTATTTTTCTTTCAAATGTCTCTAATAAATCAGAATGTGTGGAAGCAGTCTGTCAACAGCTTTTTCATTATCCACAGCTACAAACTTTTGTGAGAATGAAAAGACAATAAACCCTCACCCTTCAGGGATTTACGGTCTGGTTCGGAGCCACAAACTGACACGTGGAGTCATACAGGGGAGGTCGTGTGCTGGTACATCTCAGGGCGGTAGATCAGAGGTGGGTCTGACTAGGGACGGCCACAGTGGAAAATGCACTTCAGAAGGCAGCGTGGCGCACACAGACTAGATCGTATGATAGTAAGGAATTTCACTTTCGGAAAATAACATTGTTTATCATTTTTATGATAGGAAACTAAAATGAGAATCTGTTGCCTTGGACTATACATATAATTGTTCTGATGATCATATGAATCTGCCATTCAAAACGCAATATATTAAAAGCTTCTTTAAGGTATTAGTTGTCTATAAATGTAAGGTAGATTTAGTATAATAACAACTATTTACTGAGCACTTATATTTCTAGATATTATTTTAAGTAATTTACGAACATTATTTGACTTAACTCTCACTATATTATTGTGATATAAATGTAATTAGTCCCATTTTATAGGTCAAGACATAGGCTCAGCAAAGTTAGGTAACTTGCCCAAGGTCACATAGCCAAGTGAGTGGTGGGGAATCCAGAACTGATGAGTTAGTGATCCTGGCCATTCTTTAGTACTCCACAGCTTCCAGTTATCAGACTGCTTATTGAAGGCAGATTTTTACTAGTATGTGCTGTATCTAAAAGTTAAGTTCCACTTTTGACTAATTGAGAAAGAACCTAAATATTACCCATTAAAATCACCATAGTAGAGGACTGTTCCAAGTCCTCTGTAAAGTGGCCCCAGTCATTTTCCTTTTTATTTTTTCTTAAATTTTTTAACTTACTCATTTGAGAGAGCGCGCTTTATTGTTACATGTATTTATACAATTCATTGGTTGCTTCTCATATGTGTCCTGACTGGAGATTGAATTTACAACCTGGTGCATCAGGACAATACTTGAATTGACCTTACCTAGCCAGGGCTGCCCTGGTCATTTTCATCTAAAACTTTGGGGGCAGACAATATAATAAATGATCATTATTCTTGATTGGGTTTGGAAAACAATCCAGGCAGTAGCTCAGGAAGGATCTTGAAAATTTATAAAGCACTTATTTAATTTGTTTGTTACAATGAAGTTTCATTTGGCTAGCAGTTGGCTTTTTATTATGTGAATTGCTGCCATCAGTTCCATAAATTTAGCATTTTGCAGAACACTTCAGAAAATCAAAAGTTCTTTGGATCACATGTTACACATTGAAATTTAGAGAGTATAAGGCATTTTGTATGAGCAAATGTATATTTCACACAGCCTTAGAAGTAAATTTCAGAGACAATATTGTTGTACAAGACAAACAGGATTGGGTTTGGAATATGTCCAACATCCTCTCTTCAACAGGATCGAACTCTTTAGGGATTAGGTTTATGTCTTTTGGTGGGGGGCTTTTCTTTAGTGCCAAAATATTGAATGCCATGCATTTATAAAGACTTGTTATTGATGCATTTAATTATACATAATAATAAGCATAGATGTCAGTATTAGGAAAAGACTTCTGTAAACTACCCAAGTTGTCTTAGGAAAATGTATAAAAGTTTACTACTTTGTCCGTCAGGGAACCAACCACAAAGCAACAAGCAGGATTGTGTCCTGGGCTTTCATAGTCTATTCAAACTCGCTTTAATGTAGGACAGTTATTCATTCATTCATTTCTTGGTTCATTCATTTTTTTTTGTTGTTCACTAAAAAAAGGCAGTGAATTAAATGTTAACAAATGTGTTAAGTAAAAAGTAATATATAAAAAAACTAAAAGTAGTATCAGTCATCACAATATTCTTTCCTGACAGCAGACTGATTATATTTTAACCTTCTGGTTGCAGTTCTCACTTCTTTAAATGAGAACTATATGGCTGGGGATTTTGAGAGGATGAGCATTTCATCCAGTGTAATAATGACAAAAAAATCATCCAGTAAACTACTTTCCCAGTGAAATAAAAATTTGGCGTGATTATAATGTGACAGATTAAGAAAAAATGCTGACTTCAGCTTGAGTCGTGCAGATACAAGTACCTCTTTTTAAAAAATCAGTAATCCAATGGTTTTTGCACTCAGATTGTTTTCTGAATGAGTGTCAGATGAGTGTACAACACTCTACATCCTGGTCAGGTAGTGGTTCATGTCTTAGCTCTAGTCTTTGTCATGCGAGTCAGTGCCCAACATGCAGGATGCCATTGCTGGACTCACTTCATGCTTTTCCCCAGGTGATGACCTCACTGTTTATGGGGTCGTAATGCAACGGTGGAAGCCCTTTCAGCAAGATGTCCGCTGTGAAGTGGAGATAGTCCTGAAAGCCAACTATGTGCAAGTAAATAATGAGCAGTCTTCAGGGATCATCCTGGATGAGGAAGTCCGAAAGGAATTTGAAGATTTTTGGGAACACTACAAGAGTGATCCCTTTGCAGGTGTGTGATTAAGGGCCTAAAGCTGATAATCATCAATGGCATTTCATTCAGTAGTTAAACATGTTGTCTGTCATTGGGGGGCAGCCTTACATGCTCCATAACTCAGTGACTGAGTTCATAGGACAGCAGTGGCAGTTAGTGCCTCTAGCCACTGTCTGGCCTGAAACCCTTTGCTGGCACGGCCCTTTGTGTTTAGAGATCTGGAAGACTTTCAGGAGACTTTTCTTTTATGGCTATGTATTTTAACATCTTGTGCTACACCAAAATAGCTTCAGAATTTTCTACCTTCTTTACCAGTTAAATATACAGTTCCTCCTTTAATAGGCAAAACTCATCTGATTATGACACCTGATCCTATTAAAGTTAAAGCCATTCTTTCTTTTTAGATGTCCTTTAAATTATATGGGCATCTTCACACTATTCTGAAGATTTAAAAATAGGAGATAAGAAGAAAAGAGATGATGAGGGATGGAGAGATGCAAAAAAATAATTTTGCTGCAAAGACAAATTTTTGCTTTGTCTTTGCAGCAAAAATTTTCTGTGACGCTAAGCTCTTTCCACCATCTTTCCATGCTGCTGTAATTGTGCACACAAACATCCTGCCAGATGCTCTCAAGAGGGTCCACAATGCCCCACACAAAGGCAAATGCCAGGTTCTTATTAGGTGGTGCTCTAGCATTGTCTGGTGTCTAACTAATGATGAAGCATGGTTGCAGTGGCAAGTTTGAAATTATTGATGATCACAGAGCTGGAAAAATTGTGAACTTCGTGGGCAGCTTAACCAAGTGTCACAATTAGCCCCAGATTTGATGTGCAACTCAGAGATCTAGAAAAATGGCAGAACAACCTGCTTCTATCCCATCAGTTTGGTTTCATTGTGCTGGCAACCTCAGCAGGCATCATGGGCCACGAAGAAGAGAGATGAAAACACACAGGAGGGGACATCCTGAGATTCTTTTTCTAGGCATATAATATATATGTGCAAATAAAATGCCTCGGTTGAGAAGAATAAAGTATATGTGTGTGTTCTGGGTAGAGTGGATGAAGGTGAGGATCTGTATGTGACAGGCTAGCTTCATTTTGCTAGTCTAACGCCAGGGACTAGCAATCTAAAGCCAGCTAGTCTAAAGCTTGACTGCTTAGCTCTTGGAGATTGACCTGCTTCATTAAGACCTGACACTGTGGGTGTTGACTAGGAGGAGCCACAGGCTTTATTCGGACTTACAGTGACTTCAGGGATTGCATGACCCTGATGCTTAGGTACTGGATAGAAACCCAAACCCAGAGATGGGAGTCCGTTGGGCCGTCAGCCCACTCTGGAGTGACTTGTTATCTTAGATCTGAGAAGTCCTCTTCTTCGGAGTAGCTGAGGGCCATAGCCACACTATTGACATGATCTAGAACCAGAAGTTTCAGAGGGAGGGAAGGATGGGAGCTAGTATCCATTTTAACACATTTTCTTCCATGATATAGCCATGGGAACTTCTATCATCACGATCCAAAAAATCAAGTTTTTCAACTTTAGACAACAAATTAGGGGAATGGCCCTTCCCCTTTACAATTATCTGGTACTTCAGACCTGCCTTCCTACTATATCCTTTGTGTTGACTACAGGGTAAGGAAGTCTGAAGTTCAGAAATAAGCACAAGTAATGTGGGTAATGTGTTAACAGTTAAGTACATTGCTGCTGCTGTGTGCCAAGTATTGTTTGTTTTTTGAGCTGTACACTTACTAACTCCTTTGATCCTCGATAATTCTGTGTGATACCATTATTGTCTCCATTTTAGAGGTAAGGAAATGGAGGCAGAGAAGTTAAGAAACTTGCCCAAGGTCAGACAGCTAGTAAGTAGTAGTACCAGGATTTGAGTCCAGGTTTCTGACACAAGAGTCACTGAGTCCACCTTTACTCAGCAAAGCTGGCTCCTTGGTTTAGTTTTGGCCTGGATGTCTCCCAATAGCCAGTTGCTTTGGGGTACTCTTCCTTCTTTGCTTGTATGTGTAATCTCCAGATTCTGGTCAGAATTTATCTGCCTGCTGCCAGGTTTTCTCCTCTGCTTAGATCCCAGGACTTCATCTTTTTTCCTCTGGGCTTTTCTACCTCAGGAGTTAATGAGTTAATGAACTTCCTTGCAGGGTATACTTAATTCTTTTTGGTCCCCCTCTTTCTTCACTATTTCTGCCAGCCCAGGTCATAGCAATGTAACTAATGACTGAGTCAATTTTGATTCATTACAAAAAGTAGCCTTCGTGTATTGGGCCATACATTGTAGAGGAAGTCCCTTTCCCTTACTTGATGGTTTGTCTCACAGGAAAGCTTCTAGAACTGGAATCATCAGCTAAAGTAGTACTTGTACGATTATTTTCCTCCTCAAAACAGCTATCACTAAACATGAGTACAAACTGACATGAGTATAAAGGTCCTGAAACATGCAAATTAGTTACCAGCATGCGGACATTAACACTGGTAACATGAACATAGACAGTACCATCACAGTAGTGAATTCCTTGTAAATTAAGAGAGGCTCAAGAAAGGCTTGTTAGAATCTCATAGGTTCCTCTGTTGGTTGATTAGGCCCATAACCAAATGAAATACCAACAGTATTCATGGATGGGATAGGCAGAGTCTCAGACTGAAAAACTGATATTCTCATATTTAAAGCACTTGATCCGAAGAATCTAAGACCTCCAGCTTTGATTGCTAGAGTTGAAATTTATGATGATCTTAGTATCCTGATACTAAGTGATCAAATGCATTTTCACAATGGGGGGGGCACATCAGCCTCTCAGTTGCCTTCAAAGGGCTGATAAAATGTAATTTTAGAACTGTATAATGTAATTAACTACTCCTTAACAGTTAAGCAAGAGCTTGCAGCTGCTGCCCAGTAGAAACAAGAAGCTGGGCCAATAAAACAGGGTGGAGGGAGGTATTTGGCTTGAGGGCCTTGTGTTTGCCACCTAAGGCTTAGAGCAATATGCTGAACAGTCTCACAGGGTGGATTGATTTTACTATTCTTACACCTCTGGGGAAGCTCCAAATATTTGTATTTAAAGGTTTTTGGCTCCCAAATTCCAACTCACTGTTCTGAGATCAAACCCTTTCTTTTTATTTATACAGCGGAGTAATTTTCCTGAAATTACTGTACAGAAAATGCAGCCAATATTATTTTTTAAGGAATAATGTTAGCCTGATGAAGGAGAAAAGATTCTTTTTTGTCCCCTCTAAGTGTGATAAATGTATAGAAACTTAAGTAGATAGCACCAGGAATAAAGCAGACTTTTCATCTTGTGACATTAATAAGGAGAACTAAGTTATTCACTCCTTTTAGTCATTTGGAAATGGTACTCTTAACCATTTTAGATGACAGAGTATTGTAGGAAGATAAGATAAGAAGGAAATTTGTGTTACGATTTCTTGAAAACTGTTGGTGTAACTGTAATCCTTCTGCCTTTCCTAGGAAGGAATGAAATACTGGCCAGCTTATGCCCTCAGGTTTTCGGGATGTACCTAGTAAAGCTGGCTGTGGCCATGGTGCTGGCTGGTGGGATTCAAAGGACTGATGCCACAGGAACACGAGTCAGAGGTCAGTACCTATTTAACATTTCTAAGGAATAGTAACACATACAAGGAGAAAAGCTAGAATGTTTTTTTTTCCTAAATAAAAATTGCTTTTTGAGCTTTATTTTCCAAATGTAATCTTTTAAAGCTGACAGTCATCTGGTTGTCTAATAATAATTAGCCCAGCATCTATATATCAGGAGCTACTTTCTAGAATTCCAAAGACTAAAAGAAATCCTAAGTTTTTCAATGATTGTATGTAGTTTTGCTCTACCCTCTCAGGGTGCCACAAAGTAAAATCTTTACATTTCTATTATTGTCTGTGTTTTTTACTAGATCCACAATATCTCTTAAAGAGGCAAAGATTAGAAATAGCACTTTTTAATGGCTCCAAGTCAGCGTCTCTCCATGTGTGACTGTCAGTGTGTTGCTCTCAGACTGCTGCTCTCGTCACCTGCCTGCTGATTCCCCTTCTGCTGGTGGATTGCAAATGTGCCATCTGCCATGTGGTGCTGCTGTAGTTCATGCACTGAGGCAAAGATTACTCTAAGTATGTAATTATGTCCAAATGGCAGAAAGCTCTTTTGCAGCTAACACCCTTAAGTGACCTGAATCTGGCATAAAGGTTTATTATGGTCTTCATGTAGGCCATATGAGAGCCATAATAACCATAATAACCTAAACCAAAAAAAATACAAATACATTCTTGTCAGTCATGCTGTTAGCAGGTACTCTGAAACCAGGCAGTACAGTGTAGCACAGTAAGTGTCACTGGGTTTGTGTGTATGGTGTTTTGATCAGCTACTGTTTGCAAGGCAGTCTGCTTAATGCTGTACCTAAATAGGAGTTTCCTATTAATACACGTAGAAAATACTCAAATATTACTGAAGAAATTTGTTTGATCAGTGAGATAGTACACACCACTATATATTCATGTTCATTCGTGTTACATTTGAAAAATGAGAGTACTTTTAAGATCGATATTTCATTAAACTAAAATGTTCATACAATGAAAAGGTTTTCACTTAACTGTTAGAATCATAAATGATGTGATAGTGTCCTGTCTAGTGTGGCTCTGTGAATTGAACACCAGACTGCAAAGCAAAGGGTCACCAGTCAGGGCATGTGCCTGGGTGACGGGCCAGGTCCCCTGTGGGGAGTGCTCAAGTGGCAGCCACACATTGATGTTCCTCTTCCTCTCTTTCTCCCTCCTTCTCCTCTCTAAAAAAATAAAGTCTTTAAAAAAATAAAAATAAGTGATGTGATAGTTATATAAAGCACTTATAAAGTCCTGCTTTTAAAAAGGTGCTTTAAATAAAAAATCAGAAAATTTATAAATTTTTAAAAAATGTTAAACATAGGCTTGAATATCTAGAAATAGCACAGAATCTATTAAAAGAATTGACTTTAAATGTTGCATTCAAAAACTAAGATTAAAAAAAACTATTTAAGGTTGTTATTTATGATGACAGTTAAATTTTCTAAAGATACTCTAGTTAAATCTTTCCTCAAATGGCCTAAGTATATAGCAGAAACACTATATAAAATACAAATGGACCATTTTTCTTTTTGATTAATTACACTTGTTTGTGGGTCTTTTCATAGAAATTAAAAATTTTACATTATTCGCTCTGTCCTAGGTGAATCTCATCTTTTATTGGTTGGGGACCCTGGCACAGGGAAATCTCAGTTCCTCAAATACGCAGCAAAGATTACACCAAGATCGGTGCTCACCACAGGAATCGGATCTACTAGTGCAGGTATTTTACATGACGGTTTTATTTAATGTCACTATAGAAGCTAACACAATGTGTTTTTTTCTTTTTTAACTTGTTGACTGTAGAGATAGAGAAAGGGAGAGGTAGAGAAAGAGAACCATCAGTTTGTTGTACTTATTTATGCATTCATTGGTTGCTCCTGTATGTGCTCTGACTAGAGATCAAATCCCAAACCGTGGCACGTGGGGACGATGGAAAAGTACCGACAATGGCATAAATTTTGAGCTAATTTTTGAGAGTTACTGCCAAAAATTAAGGAAACATATAGCATGTCATTATAGCACTAAGAAAATATTTTATAAGTTCCACCATCACTTATTTTACAAAAACTTACTCCGTTTATCTTTTTGCATCTTAGTTTTGAATGATCCTGTTCAGTTTTCTCATTTTCTTCTTGTGATTACCTTCATACATACTTATGCAGGAAGAAGTATGTTTTCCCTGGCATTTTTTAAAGACACAGCAAACAGAATGTTGAAATAAATTATATAGGAGGAGAAGAAGTCTTACTTTACATAAAATAGATAGATGATGTCAAGCTGAGGGTATTTCCATGCTCATAGATCTCACAGGCAACAGTAACTCCTGTGGAAAATTCTTAGGTAGAAAATATCTTAGTATGTGCACAGTGTATTTTCATCATTGCAATGTGGAGTTTTATTCATACATTGTAGTGATTCTTCAACAAGTACATTTAAAAGCCTTTGCAGATAGAATTTCAAGATTTGATGACAAAGTGACTTTCAGAAAAAATTATTTTAAAAAACATGTTTTGATGCCATTCTGTTTTTTATGCCACAATCACTAGGGAAATATTTCTTGTTATTCTGCAGTAGGCCTTTGATCTACACATTCTGTAAATGTTATGTACTACTTTTCAGGGAAGCCTAACATCTGTGGCCTGTGTTCAAATTTCAGAAGCTTGTATTTTAAATTTATCATAAAGCATCCATTAATGGACCATCTATTAATGGTCCTCTGTAATGACAGCTCAGTTCTAAGATGCTCTCCAGTTTTAGAATATAACTGACCAGTACATTAGGAATTGACAAGAAAGGATTTGTGACTCGAGAGGCATAGACCAGATATTGGAAGGGAAGTAGGCAAGAATATAAAGAACAATTCACATGTATTTTAAAATTCTTACGTCCCATTGTTCTAGAGCTGTATAGAATGATAGCAACAAACAATAAAGGTGACCCCCAAGTAGTTATGTGGAATGTTTCCTAAGTACATTAGGAAACATTAGACATAAAAATGGAGTGCCAAGAAATGAGTCTAAGTTATCTCGTGAGCTACTAGTAATTCCAGAGTATTTGGACAGTTTTAGAGTGAATGGCTACTGATTCACTGTATTAGCACTTTTCCCTTTTCTAAATGCCAAGATCATAATCCAAATATGAGGGAAAAAAGACAGGTAGAGGGAATATAAGTTATTTTAGAACTATAAAAAAGTTATTACCACTTACATCTACCAAAAGAGCCAGATTACTCCTTCTTCAAAGTGTGTATCACAACTCAGTGCAGAGTCATAAAAGTCAATCAGTGAGTCAAAACCAGCACTTTCAGGGTGAAATCAATAACATACCAGAATTACTGCAAATAGTAAAGGTTCATTATAAGGAGGCATTTTCATAAAAACTCTTAATATAAACATATACTTGTGTTATGGAGTTACAATTTTAAAATATTTTTACCATGGGTTACAGTGAAGTTTTGAAAACTGCTGCCATAGACTTCTTCGTAAAATTAGAAACCCCACATCTTAAAACCAGAGGGTTATGACCACACGGAAACCTAAGATTACATAAGGTTATAAATGAACACACGCATGTGTGCTCCTCAGACCTTCTGAATGCTTCCTCAGCCGAGATGATATTCTCCTCTCCTCCAACCCCCTCTCCTATCTCTTCTGTGGCATAAGTCATTTGTTCATTTTATATTCCCTGGACATAGCTATTTACTATGATCAAAAGGGGGAAAAACATTTCTAAACCTTCTCGCCATAATTCAATTGTGTCTGTAAATGAGGCTACCTGGGTTTCTTTGTTCTTCATTTTGAATTCTAAACTTCCTATTTAAATATTAAATATTAAAATTATTTTATAGAACATGCCATTTTTTACTGAGAAATAAGTTTTGAAGTCTCAGGATTTTGTGAAAATTGGCTGTCCATTTACAGTGAAACCTAACACTTGGTTGTCAATAAAAACCAGTAGAATCTACCAGAATAAAAACTCAGCAGTGAAATGTTTTACTGGTAATCTGGATTATATATGCTGTATTTCTAACAAGCATATATCTTGTTCCTGTTATATTAATCACTGAGCTCTTTGTTGAAAAGTATTACTTTATTTTTAATAGTTTAACATTTTCTTTTAATTGCAATTAGACAAAAAAAATTTTCTTTATAGTTTTAACAGTAGGATGTATTTTATTTTTAAAGTCTGTGAACTAGTTAGTGGACAGTATTTTAATAATCTGATATATTAAATTTCAAAGTTTAACATTTAGCAAAATTTTGCTTCACAAATTCACTCTTTTAGAATGACAGGAAATATGTACAACTTCAATTCCAAATTCAGACAAATGCCCCTTTCCCTTCCTCAAGATGAAAGTTTTAAAAAGTGTAGTACAGTATAAAAGTTTTAGATATGAAGGCACTGCATAACTCTGCATTATATGGCTGATGTCTTACTTAGCAGCCAGAGTCATGAGAATATTCTACACTTAATTTAATGGAGCATAAGAAACTTTCTGAGGAAGGATCTAGCTCTTATCAAAGAAAAAGAACCTTTTGGTCCCTTTAGTTAATGAATTCCTTTCCAAGACTGCTTTAAAAAAACTTATCTGGAAAAGCTATCTAGAATCTGTCAACTACAAAAATGTCTAATCTTATTCTGCATGAGTCTCGGGGGATATGGAGAAGAGCACTACCTGTGTGAAAATATATTTATTTCCAAAATAGTAACTTATCTGTTAGGATTAAGCTTATATACCTGCCCACATCCACTGTTTTTGCATCATTGCTGCCAATGGATGAACTATGAAAAAAACTTTAAAGAGTTAGGTTTATAATATTATCATAAAGCTAATGAAATGACCTAAGTCATAATACACCCCTGTCCTTAAACTGAAGGAGTTTGTATCTGCTTTTCATGTGTTGACTCTTTGGGTGATAATGACGTGTATGGTTCAGTAAGTGTTCTTATGTCCTAAACTCTTACAAAAACAAAGACCATGGCCAAAAGACTTTAAAAGAAACATTTTAGTTGAAGTGTACTTTGTTCTTTTGAAGGCCAGTAAACTTAGTGGTCCAAAGATTATTGTCCAAGAGGTTAAGACATCTTTACAATCTGGTCTAATAATTTATATTTCTTTACAAGGGCTTTAATTACATATATAGGAGAAGAAAAGAATATATATTTTAATCAGATTAGTTTCAGAACAAATAAAATAACACATTAGAGAAAAAAATACTTAAAAATAGTTGTATTTATATTCCACAATTTGCTCAAATACTGGTTTTCTTATAAACTTTCTACAGGTTGTTTTTAAAACAAATTCTTCACATTATGTCTTAGTGACTATGAATTATGGGATTTCAGGGAAATAGTTCTGTGTGTTTTTATAGCTTAATTTGTACTAAAGGGATGGCAGGCGGTCACATGCAGTCCATGTGGGATTCTAACATAACATTTAGTGAGTTTTCTGACGTGGACCATCCCTTTGATGCTGAAGGTAATGCATCTGTTGAAAGAAGTGATTGTAGATTTGGATTACTGCTCTCTGCGTCTTCCAGTTTTTCTGTGTTATCTTCCCAATTGATGTGGAATCTTGTGACTCTGGGATTAGATGCCAAAATGTTCCTTTGAAGCTATAGGAAGAAGGAAATACATCAATGGTAAGCACTAAGAAAGTTAGATCACCATGTACAAACAGAAGCTTAATAAAATGGTTCTTTACATTAATACTGCAAAAGGGCTAAATTCATATACATACAAAGGCATAATATGTCAAAAGCATCTAAAACATGATGAGGGCTGCAGCAAAGAAATTACTTTAGCCTAATGGAAATAAGATAAGGAGAATCTGAGGGAATTAATCCAGATCTGTTATAATACTCTCTAACAAAATATCTAAATCCTCAATACTTCTGTTTTATAAAAGGGAGAGAATCTCTTCTTTTTGGAAGGTGAATGTTTCAGAGGATGCTTTCTTTAACAAACTAATATGTTTTTTAGATAGAGGTGGTGTCTCTTAAGTAATATGTTCAAGGAAAATAAAATATTCCCCTAAATATAACCTCTTGTTGTTAGTGGTTTCCTACCTTTTAATTATTATGGCTCATTCTCAAAAACAGTATTGTAGCTTCTTCTCTTTTTTCTATACAAGGTGCCATACTGGTAACTAATAAATTAGATCAATGGAAGGTCCCTACACCACCATAAAAAACGTTCTAGCCTTATTCCTTTTCTCCCCATGTAAGTTTTCTTATATAATCTGGTAGATGGTGTTGTGTTCAACCTCAAAAATCACCAGTTACTAAACTATTAGTTTCCAATGGAAATCATAAAGTACTAATTATTTTCTAAAACACTGAATTATAGATTTTAGCTTCTCCCTTGGAAGCTAAGCCATTTTCCATCACCAGGAATATTTAAGACCTTTAATTAACCTTTAACGACAGCACATAAAACAAGGCCTATAGGTGTTCTGAGAAAACAGCATTCATATGAAAAACAAATGCAAAACTCCCCCCCACAATTTTGGGAAGAGTTACAAACAAAAATATTATCGAATAATCAGTACAACAAACATGAATTTGAATGTGCTAAAGATTGAAATGAACAGAACCATGATGTATGGGAAATGCCATAAAGACAGCCATAAACAAAGGTCTGTTTCTTACAGGAGGTACTTTTCATTTCCTGAAACAACAGACTCAACGTGCCTGACCAATATTGATTATTTATACGTAT